AGGCAACATCATGGGAGATGGCGAGAAGCCAGACGTCGTCAGCAGTTTCACATTCCTTGGATCCACAATCTACACCCATGGTCATATCAGTCTAGATACGGAAAGATACGCCACCCTGGCAAATGGCTGGGAAGGACCTCTCTACAGTGCCAGGGAGAAGAGATGTCAGTTTAAAGACTAAGGTGCACCTGACCCAGGTCCTGACGTTTCCAGTGGCTCCCGATGCACCTGAGAGGTGGCTGAGGAACAAGCGTAACAGAAGGTCTGACGCCTTCGAACGCGGGGCTGGTGAAGAACAGCCAGTGGGCTCGTAGAAGAGCAAGTCTGTCTTTACGCAGGCGGAACTTCATCTCACACATCTGAACATGTTGTCAAGAGGGAAACACAATCCTGTCAGAGCAGCGGAGGGTCAGAGACAGAGAGGAAGGCCCGAAGGAGATGAACTGACACGGGGAGTGTGATCACGGGCTTGAGCAGATCGGAGACGGCGAGGACGGCACGGGGTGAGGCAGAGCGCGGACCTGGCACTCACAGGGTTCCGGTGAATCCCACACGACATGACGGCAAGGACCAGCAACCGCTTTCTGAGCACAGCGTCATTCTCCAGGCACGGAAGCTCCTGCTAACATGGCTGGATCTGTGAGATGGGGTACGTAGCTCCTCACCTCTAAGGGGCGCCTGGCTGGACCTCTCCCAAATGGCTGGGGTGGTCCCTTCATCTTCCCCTCCCAGTGCTCGATCCACTTCCTCCATCTTTCATACAAGGAAAAGGTTCACCTACCAGGGACAGCCCCCAGCTCAGCTGTCACACAACTACCACCTGGCCCAGGACACCGGGAATCGTGGACTGGTTCTGAACCACAGTCCCATTGGCCCTTCTGTGGAGAAAGCATGTCCTTTCCACAGCCCTGGACTCTGTCCATGGGCCCTCCTACCTCTCAAGGTCAATGTGGAAGTCCCCGGAACTCCCTCCTGTCCGGCCACCCATGCACGGGGTGGTTTTTCGCATCCTGGGTGCCCTGGCCTCCTTCCCCCCGGCTCCCTGGAGGTGGGGGCCTTCCTGCAAGCTAATCCCCCCTCTCAGCATCCCCTCCCCTCCCACAGACAGCTCTCCACCTAACTGACCATCTCCCCCTTCACTCTGCTGCCCGGATCCTTCCACCCCACGGGAGAGATGATTCACGTCCCCTTCAGAGCCGCCCCCGGCTTCTGGGCAGGCAGGTCCCAGGGAAGCAGGATTTCCAACAGGGGACTGTCTTCTTGTCCTCAGGCTGCCCCAACAATGTCAAGCCACACACAGGTGTGACTACAGAGAACAGGGGGACGCCACCTCGGCCCCAGAAGCGGGTGTTCACACCAGGCTGTCTGCCGTGGGGGGCTGTGGGCAGCTCGGACACTCTGTCTCAGGCCACGCTCAGACCAAACATCCACCGACACACTAATGGACTGAGAAATCACGGTACATTCCCACAATGGAAGACCATGAACACTGAGGAGCAAGAATTTGATAAAATCCTATATAACATGGGAGAGGTTAGAGAGGATTACACCGAGTGAACTAATTCAGTGTCATAAGGACAAATTCTGTACAAGAACATTATTGTCAAAAGAGAAGGATAATGCGTAAGATGTGCATAAAAGTCCAAAGGGGTAAGAAGAGTGGGGAGGGGCATACAGTGGGGAGCGAGGAAAATCACGGGCCATAGAGTTTGGTGGATGGAGGGAAAGGGATCTGAAAAAGATGGGGTAATACTGGGCACTGATCAATGGGGATTAATTTTATAAAACACAAAGTGTGGGAACAATTGTATAAAACACAATGTGAATGAAGGAATGTGTGAAACAATGTATGTGAATAAAATAATGTGAAGAAGGAATGTGTGGAATAAAGTGCATATGAATTAAAAAACACCCTTAAAAATAAAAAAAAAGTAATAAAAAGCAACCACAAAATCCTGTCTAATCACGAGGCCAACGGAGGCCTCTCAGTTCTCCCTGGATGCGGCTGACAGGCTGCTCTGTTGTTGCTGTCGTTGTTTTTTGAAGGGTGGCTGTAACAGAGGTGGCGCTGGTGACAGTCTGTAAGGAGCTGAGACACCAACCTGTCATTGTTTTTATGAAGAGTGGCTCTAACGCGGGGCGGGGGGCCTGGTGACACAGTGTGTAGGGAGCTGAGATGCTAACCCGTTGTTGTTTTATGAAGGGTGGTTGTAACAGAGTAGGCTCTGGTGACATGTCCGTAGAGAGCTGGGCTGTCAACCTGTGGTTGTTTTTTGAAGGGTGGCTGTCACAGAGGGGGCTCTGCTGACACAGTGTGTAAGGAGCTGAGACGCTAACCCATTGTTGTTTTATGAAGGGTAGTTGTAACAGCTAACCCATTGTTGTTTTATGAAGGGTGGCTGTCACAGAGGGGGCTCTGCTGACACGGTGTGTAGGGAGCTGAGCCGCAAGCCTGTCGTTTTTACGATGGGCAGTTATAACAGAGGGGGTTCTGGTGTGTAGGAAGCTGGGCCGCTGACCCAGAGGCCACACTTCTCTGCAGTCTGGACTTGCCCAGCTGCTCCGAGGGAGGAAGACAGGTCCCCTCGTCCTGAGTGGCACCCAGCCCCAGACAGGAACCCCTGCAGCACCAGCCATGGTCGGTTCCCTCTCAGCAGTCACGCATCTGAGGGCGTGAAGACACTGCTGGAAGGTCCTCACCTTCACTGACAGGAACTGAACCGCTCACACATGAAATAACATCATTTCATGAACCTGCTTCAAAATCATTCAGTGAGTTGTTATGGTGCAACATCAAGTGGGAACCAGCCCATAGCTGACCCTCCCCACCCACGGCTGACCCTCCCCGCCCACGGCTGACCCCCTGGTCCACGGCTGACCGTCCCCACCCACAGCTGACCCTCATGGCCTGTAGCTGACCATCCCCATCCATGGCTGACCCTCCTGGCCCATAGTGACCCTCCCGGCCCATGGCTGACCCTCCTGGCCCATGGCTGACCATCCCAGCCCACAGCTGACCCTCCCCGCCCACAATTGACCCTCATGGCCCACAGCTGACCCTCACGGCCCACAGCTGACCCTCACGGCCCACAGCTGACGCTCTGACAGGTTTTCAGAGGCAGTGGGTCTGAAGTCTTTAGTGTCATGATGCTTAAAATCAGCAAATCATAGTTCTAGAGTGAGTTACTAAGACACAGGTCTGATTGTGTAGAAACAGTAGAAGAGCGTGTCTGTCTGTCTCCCCAGCTTGGCGGGGAGCCCACTGGGAGGGGACAAGACCAGCCGTTTCCTCCCTGAACATCGCAGCCCCCCAGTATCAACAGCATAGAGACCCTGTGTACGTTCTGACGGACAGGGACCCAGCAAGTGGGCACTTCAAGACACTTGCTAACACAGCAGGTCCATGGGGACAGCTGGGACCAGAAATCAACCTTTCTGCCATCAGGGCCAGAGAGGACAAGGGTGTGGACCCTCCAGGGACACCAGGACTTTCCTAATAATGGTCAGGGATGGATTGTGGGCTCATATTCTGATCTCTAGGTTCAAAGACCAAAGATAGCAGTGACCAGCTGGCATCAAGTTGACCATGAGTCATCATGCCTACTAGGGTCAGAGTTGAACTGGCCACGACACGTTTCCCGACGCTGATCTCCTAAAAGAACATCTGGTCGGTCATTAAGAAGGGTCTCTGGACAGCCTTGTAGACCTGAGCTTTTCGTAGCCAGAGCCTAACCATTCAAACCACCCAGAAACTCTACATTTACAGTCACTGTGAAGGGTCAGGCATGGAGGGAAAGACCCTCAATGAGATGAGTGTGACCACACAGTGAGTTCAGGCACTGAGGAGAATGTGAGGCCAGCGTGTGGCCCGGCCAGCTGTCCTTCAGCAGGACTTGAGTCTACATGAGGCAGAGTCAGCTCGACAGCATCAGTGACAGTGAGACTGAGAACAATGACTAAGGAGGACCTCAGTGTTTGCTGCAGAGGCCCAAAGGCTGAAGTCCTCTCTAGAGACTGCATCTCAACACCACTGAAACAGAGCCTCACCACTGGACCAATAGGCAGCATCACGACAGAAAAGAGACTGAGGTTGTTAATAATTTCATCTTGTTCTGATCCACAATTAACACCCATGGTACCAGCAGTCAGGAAATCAAAAGAAAAATTGCGTTAGGAAAATCTGCTATTGGGGACCGCTCCAGAGTGCTGAAGAGCAACAATGTCAGTCTAGAGACTAAGGTGCACCTGACCCAATTGCTTGCTATGGTCTTCTCAATTACTAGCTATACATCTAAGAATTAGACAATGACTAAGGATGACCGAAGAAGAATCAACACCTTTGAGTTGTAGTGCTGGAGAAGAGCACTGAACATCCCATGGACAGCCAAGAGAACAAGCAGGTCTGTCCTGGAGAGGGTGAAACCAGGCTGCTCCTTGAAGGCTCGGATTCTGTAGCTTCATCTCACATGCTCTGGCCATGTGGCCAGGAGGGACCCGTCCTGGGGGGAGGACATCACGCTTGGAAGGGTGGAGGGACGCGCAGAGAAGAAGACCTCAGATGAGACAGACCGGCTCGGTAACTGGGGTGATGGGGACAGCAGTGTCAGAGACTGTGACTGACTCAGGACTGAGCAAGGTGCAGAGCCATCTCTCACGGGGTCTCTGGGGTCCTAGTCAACTCAACAGCACATCACAACAACAACCGAGTGGGCTGGAAGCAGCATGTCGGCGCCTCATTGCTGTTGGGCCCTTGCTGACATGCAGAGGGGGACAGAGCACTAGCCGTGCACTGAAGCCTCGCAGCACGGGGGGCTCTGGCCCAGTCACCCCTGTCTGGGACTCTCCCGGAGGGAGCCGTCAGCTTGGGGGTGTGGACTCCTTGGGCTAGAAGAGTCTGTCTGCCCATTTCTGTAGGAAGTCCAGACAAGAGCGCTTTCTCTTGCTCCGGACGGGTCACGTCCCGCACCGCACACGGAGTCGCGTCCACACTGGCCCCTTACCTTTGTAGGAGACGACTGGGTGTTCCTGCCGCTGGCACTCGGGCGAGTCGGGCCCTGCCGGCTGGCCGAGCGTCCACACACCCAGGCCAGACACAAGCCAGGCGACGAAACCGAGGCCCCTCATGGCGACGCGGAGGGGGTTTCCTCTAGCCAGCTGCTGGCTTCCCCGTCATGTGCGCCTGAAACACAGGGAAGGAAGGACCCATGAGCGGGTGCTGACTGCAGGGCAGCGAGTGTCTCCCTGTGGAAGGGGACGGGGATCCCTAGACCCCAGGCCCACCTCCATCCGCGGACACTCGATGCTGCTGTGGTGTGAACACAGGAGGTGGGAGGATGGCAGGGCCACTGTACACGGGGCCCCTGGGAGCCAGACCCCCCCTGCACAGCCACCCACGGGGCATCACCACGAGGGGTGAGTCATCCCTGGCCATGTGAGAGGTCAGTCCCTCCACACATGCAGTGTCCATGCGGTCACAGTGAGCCTGTGTACACAGCACAGCTGGGCTCTTGCCTGACACCTGAGACGCGGGCAGAGGGGGCAGGGGGCAGCAGTCCCTGGGTGGGACCTTTCCCAACAGCACAGGCGAGGAGTAGTGTTTCATCCTCCCAGACCTGGGTCCCCAACGCTCAGCATTCCCACCTCTCGAGTCAAGGGCTCCTCCTGGAAGCCACCCCATGTGCTGAGTAGGAGCCCAGGGCCACCCTGAGGTGCCACAAACACTGGCAACACACTGGCACAGCTGTGGCACCAGAGTCTACTCACAGCTGACCCTCCGCAGGCTTTCAGGGGCCGAGGTCACACATGAGGCCACCGTTTGCCCACAGAGCGGCTGGCAGGCGTGAGCCACCTGCCTCTGGACCAGCCACACAGCTCCTTGTCTCCAAGCCCCCCGAGGCCCTGAGGCCCTGGCAGAGGCCGCCAGCCTGCTGCCCACCGACCTGAGCGCGGCCTGACCCACAGCAGCCCGTGAATCTATCCTGGACGGACGTGCCCACCTCACCCACCGGGAGCTCCACGCAACTGAACCACCGACTTTCAGCCAGCCATCGACTACGCACTGTGCCACCAGGGTCCCCCAGACACCGTGGGTCACCCTCAGGAGCCGGTCCCCCGATCGCAGGCACCAAACATCTCCCTCTCTGGAGACGAGAGTGCTGTCGGCACTCAGCTGACCATCCGAGATCCGACTGCTAGGTCACCGGCGGAGTGTAGGACACGGGACGTGGACGGCGATTCATAAACACAAAGGCCACGTTTCTGACAAAACTCGCCGAGCTTGGGGGGACCGTGAGACCTTCCAAGGGAGGGGTTCCGGCAAAGGTGGTGGTCACGGCTCCACGTCTGGCGTATGAGAAAGAGACGGCACTCGTCACACCAGGGGAGCAGCGACGTGAAGACCAGGGAGGAAGGCAGGGGCCCGGCTGGACACCATGACACCTCCCTGGGGACACCCTGGGGCTGGCCCTCCTCCTGGAGGTGGGAGGACCCGTGGGGGGAGCTCTGAATCAGTGCAGCTCTGTATAAAGTGTTTGTGCAATAAATACCACTTCCCACACACGCCCACATGCTCGGGGACAGAAAAGAACCTTTAACAGAAAGAAGGGGAAATGCTGTCAAAGTCTGGTGAGGGCGAATGCAGGAAGGCTCCGTGTGGTGGGCTGATGTGGGGGCCCAGCCACAGAGCCCCCACCTCCATGTCCTCACATTCTCATGTCCCCACATCCCCATGTCCCCACATCCCCATGTCCCCACGTCCCCACATCCCCGCGTCCTTACATCCATACGTCCGCACATCCCCATGTCCCTGCGTCCTAACATCCATACGTCCCCACATTCCCACAACCCCACATCCCCATGTCCCCACATCCCCACGTCCCCATGTCACCACATTCCTACATCACCCATCCCCCATCCCCATGTCCCCACGTCCTCACATTCGTACATCCCCACATTCCCACAATCCCACATCCCCACATCCCCACGTCCCCACATCCCCATGTCCCTGCATAACTACATCCCCCATCCCCCATCCCCATGTCCCCACATCCCCACGTCCCCGCATCCCCACATCCCCACGTCACCACATCCCCATGTCCCTGCATAACTACATCCCCCATCCCCCATCCCCATGTCCCCACATCCCCACGTCCCCGCGTCCCCACATCCCCACGTCACCACATCCCCATGTCCCTGCATAACTACATCCCCCATCCCCCATCCCCATGTCCCCACATCCCCACGTCCCCGCGTCCCCACATCCCCACGTCACCACATTCCTACGTCACCTATCCCCATGTCCCCACAGCCCCATGAGGCACAAGTGGGAGCTCCCAAGGTCTCCTGCCCACCACCATCGGGCCCTCACTGCAGTGAAGGGGCTTGTCCTCTAGCTTCTTCCAGAATCTTCCAGTGACCAGCAAACCGTTCCTGCCCACTCAGACCTGAGAGGGGCCAGCAGAGTGCCCGTGCTGCCAGGGCTGTGGCTCCCCAACTCAGAACCCCCATGACTCCTGTCAGACTCTCCACCACCCCCGCTCTCCTGGGACTGGGTGGGGAAACTGAACAAATGACACAAATGTAAAACTTCAGGTATCACATTCCTTCAAGAAGAGGCGGCAGGAAAAGGAGAAAAGGGAGAAACTGCTTGGACTGTGGACAGCAGGGGTCAGCAGGGGTTAGTGGGGGGAGCAGTGCGAGGGAATGGGAGCGGTTCAACGGGGGCTTGAAAAGACCGGGTGAGAGAGGCATGGTTACTGTTGTAAACGTGCTGAGTTACATCAAGTTAACTGAGACCCATGTGACCCTGTGTCCAGCAGCGCTGAACCCTGCCCGGTCCTGAGTCGGTCTCACCGATTCCCACACACCAGGCCCCATCGCCCCAGTTACTATATCAATTCATCTCATCCAGGGTCTCCCGGTCCTTCGCTGTCCATCCACCTTCCAAGCCTGATGTCCTTCTCCAAGGACTGGTCTCTCCTGGCCACGTGCCTGAAGTAAGTGAGACGGAGCTTCAAAATCCTGGCCTCCAAGAAGCGGCTTCCACCCTCTCCAGAGCAAACCTGCTTGTTCTCTTGGCGGTCAGTGGTACAGCAGTGGCTGTGATGTGATTGTGGACCACAGAGTGAAAACTGACCCAGAGCTGACCCTCTGGTGGGTTTTCAGAGCCTGTCAATCACGCGGGAGGAGACTGCCCACCCTTCTGTGGAGCGGCTGGTGGCCTCGAACCATGTGCCTTTGGGATTGTAGCACAGCTTCTTACCACCAGGCCACCAGAGCAGTGGTAATTCGTTATATAAAATATAATGTATATAAGGAGCTCTGGTGGCCTAGTGCTAAGAGACTGTGCTGTAATCCGGAAGGCATGCGGTTCGAGGCCACCAGCTGCTCCGGGGGAGAAGGCTGGACAATCTCCTTCTGTGCGATTGACGATTGATGACCTCTGAACACCCACCAGAGGGTCAGCTGAGGGTCCGTTCCGACTCTGCGTCCACAACAATGTAACATCTACGGATGATTGCTTAGAACACAGGGTACACGGCAAAACAAATGGAAATGAATCACCATGTGGAAACCAATCAAAACTTTTAAAAAGAAAGTGATCCTTCTTTGAAAGCCCCTCACTGTACTTGTTATTTGAGGGAAATGTGATGAAATTCAAGCCTTTGCTGGCCTACAGGAGAATTCGACCTCCCCAACACCCTGCATCTTCTGTTTCACATTTTGCCTTTAAATAGGATCCTTAGTTTTGTTTTCACCCCCAAATCTGAACGGCCTAATTCTGTGTGTGACAGTTTCTCCCTGACATGTTGGTGGAACATTCGAGGCGCCCTGTGGGTGGAAGCAGGGACACCCCCAAAGGCAGTAGCTGCCGCTCTCAGTCCCCGGCTGAGCAGAGAGGGGCAGCTCTGAGGCCCAGGAATTTCCATCATATCTGAACTCGGAGGAGACAGGACCTCAGGGCCACATGGAATGACGGGGTGAAATAAACAACAAACACTAACACTGCAGCCACCTGGAACCTGCAGCAGCCGGACAGGGGAGGTCACTGCCGAAGAAGGCCAGCCTGGCCTTCACTGACCCCTTGCCCACCCCTGGCATCGCCCTGAGGAAACAGCAGCATGTTTGGTGACATGCACTTGTCACGGCCCTGGGGGCAGCACTCCTACCGTCCATCTGTAGTCTGCAAACAAAGTGCGTGTCCCTCCCACAGCCTCCGGGGCGAGGGAGACACAGGAGGGATCTCACCAAGGAAGAAGGAAATGCAAAAATAATGACCTTCCAAAGCAGCGTGACTGTGGGCAGGTGGAAATGACCGGCCTGCGCGCTCGACCTCAGCAGGACCACGGGGCCACCGAGGGACAGCCACGGCCTGGAGGCCTCCTGACGGGAAAGGACTCTCTCTGCCGCTGTCCCCACTGCTCAGCAACGGTAGTTTCCCTTGTCCACACAGGGGCCACCTGTGGACAAGGTCACTACATAGCAAGCACCACAGTCCCCAGGTCCCTGTCCAATACCCACATGTCTCTGCCATGTGTCTGCCCTGGGGCAGAGGTGACGGCGCCTGGTGTTCCTGGGACACCCCTAATCATGCTTCTCCATCTGACCATTAACTGGCCACTCTATCCTGCCCACCAAGTCCACGTCTTCCCACAGACATCGGCCAGGGTTTGATGCAGACAGCCATGGACTTGCTGTTGTCTGTTGATGAATGGGCCAGGCCCTTGGCGACAGAGTACAAGAGCCTGGTCCCTCACCACTGTCACAGCCACAGGGCAGCCAGAGTCCACCATGAGGTCACTGTGTGTGAGCACTTTCCCACTTGTGTCTGTCCCGACAATGCTGTGTTCAGATCGTCCCAGTCATGGAGAGCTGGAGTCCGCTATGCGGTCACTGTGTGTGAGCACCTTTCCTCCCAGCAGCCTCCCTTTCCCCCTGTATCTCAGTGATGATGTGTTCAGACTGTCACAGGCATGGACAGCTGGAGTCCACCATGGGGTCACTGTGTGTGAACACCTTCCACCCTGTATCTGTCCTGACGATGCTGTGTTCAGAGTGTCACAGGCATGGACAGCTGGAGCACACCGTGGGGTCACTGTGTGTGAGCACCTTTCCGCCCAGCAGTC